GTGCTGCATCCCACCCGTGGGCACCTCCTCCCACCTGTGGGCACCTCCTCCTGCCCATGGGCACATCATCCCACCTGTGGGCAGCTCATCCCACCCGTGGGCAGCTCATCCCACCTGTGGGCGCTGCATCCCACCTGTGGGCACCTCCTCCCACCCGTGGGCAGCTCCTCCCACCCGTGGGCACTTCACCGCGCCCACGGTGGAGCTTTAGACCCGTGCGTAGCCCAGCCTGGCAGGCAGCACCCTTTGAATCGGTTTGGCCTGGGAAGGCGATGGGGGCACGCAGGTTTTGGGAGGGGAGCTGTGCAACCACCTGGACCGGGGTCACAGACCTGGACCTGGACCAGGGAAAGCAGCTGGTCCCCAAATCCGTGGCAGATGATCAAGTTGCTGCCCCGTAATGAGTTACTGCTGAGATGGACCATGACCGTCCACGTGCACGAGAGTTCTCGGGGCTCTGCTGAGGGCAGGAGCCGGGTCCTGTCCTTCCGGAGGAGCCCAGGCTGCCCAGGGGATGGCACTGGGGTCTGCTGCCAGCTGCAGGGGCCCGGGCAGAGCCAGACCCTCGTCCCATCACGCAGCACCCGCCCTGGGTCCCTCTTGTCTCCCTGCAGCTCTCTAGGGTGCAACTTCTTTTTTTTTTTTCTGTTGATTTCACGTCGTGTTTTTGAGTTTGTGCCATTTCACTTCATCTTATGTTTTTCTCCATTTTCACACTGTCGTTATGGGGCGCTCAGAGGTAGGTTCCTGCCAAAATCTTTTCATTCCATGTACAGTCTCTCTGAAATGAAGACATTAAATCCTAGGTGAGGGCAGAGGGGTTGGGACTGGACAACGCAGGTGGATTTACTGAACCTCAGCCCCAGCATCTCCCCCCACGGGAGCCGCAGTCAGGGAGGGTCCGACCCTGCTGCTCCCACTACTGAGGCCCGTGCATGGCTCGTACTTGGCTCCAGAATCTGTCCCCTCCTTGACCCTTCCTGCTCCGGCTGGACACCCCTGCCCCTCTTTTCCCCTCCAGTCCTCTCGGCTTCTGCACCGCGGCCAGAGGGGCTGACATGTCCCGCACCCCCGGCCTCCCTGGGGCACCGGGGAGGGGAAGGGTCCCGAGAGCCATCCTGGGCGCGATGTTGTGCCGTTCTGTGGATTTGGCACCGGCCGTGCCGCTGCAGGCCCAGCGGGTGCATTGAGCAGTGAGGGGGAGTCTGT